TGGACACCTACATTKCTTGTAAATCACAGGAAGAACTCGTCGTTGTTCTGCGACGGCTGTTAATGCTTGACGCAGTTCTTGTTTACAGAAACGGCTAGCTAAATAACTTGGCGATAGGACTACAAGAGTAACTTTACTCTTATAAATGGCGTCGGTTATGTTTTGTACAATCCATTGACCGGGCTCAAAGTCTCTGTAATGGAAACAACATTTGTAACCCTGTTCTTCCAAGGTGCTTTGTAGAGTTTGGCCAAATTCATGATCATTATTACTAAAGCTCAGGAAGACGTCGTATATTATTTCCATTTCTGTCACAACTGTGTCATCGARAKGGACTGGGGAAAAATATAAAAACAATTTCGGTCAGAACATATATATCGACATTCAAAAAAAGAAAGTGTTAAAAAGCTTTTTAAAATACTTAAGGTTGCTCTTTGCGGGTTTATCAAAATGATGGTGATTATTACAATTTTTACATGTTATGTAAATATGTTATATGTTATATATATTGAAACTTGACAATACGAACAACGTTGCTATTTTTGTTTATACAAATAATCCCCAAATTTTCTCAAACTATATTGAGTCTATTTTATGAAAAATTAGAAAATTGAGATTTTGTACAAAATATTTGCATCAAATGCGATTCGAATAAATCATTGATATAGAAAAATTATTGCTTTTGGTCAAGTTTGACAATAATTACTTGAAAGAAGCGAGGAACAATGAATTGAAATCGTGGAAAATAATTCTAATGGGAGGCACAGAAAGAACGATAAAGAAGTAGTTGCTAAGTATCAAAACAATGGGACAACGTCGGGAATGCCTTGGTTGGTTGTTATATCAATTACCTTGCCAAGGTAGGTTTCGCCTCATTCTTCTCAAGCAAGACAACCCTATCAAGATCACTACTATGACAAGTGCTGTGGGGAAGACAACTGCACTGATTCTGGGACCTAATTTATCTTGCGAAGTGTCTGGTTTATCTACAGGATCCAAAAAAAATCGATTTTAGTCATGACTTCAGGTTATTTCAATTGTGTATTTCTTTCAATTAGCTGGTTGCTGCTGTTCAAGTTCTTCTGGCAATGATGCATTGATGATGTAGCCAGGACCGTGAAAACATATAATAAATATATCTTATTGGTTTTGGGAGGGGAGGGGAGTGGGGCTAAAAACCAACGAAGTCTGGATTTTCATTTCATTTGAAAATACGATTCCAACACTTCGAGAACATATCTTGTGCAGTGAATCTATTACAGTCAAACTACCTGAAGCGTGAACACGTAGAGATCTTTAATGACTTCATTATTCCATTATTGATTTGATTCTTGGATTCAAATATTCATTATTGAGTTTATTAGTCAACTTTTCAAAATTTTGAAGATGTGCAGTTATCAACCATGCACATATTATTTTCATTTATTCTATTCGTTTTTGCATGTTTGAATATTTTTCAATATTTAAAACTTCATTTGAATAATGAATATTTGAATTCAAGAATCAAATCAATTATGCAATATTGAACTCATTAATGATCACTAGGTGTTCATGCTTCAGGTAGTTTGACTGTAAAATATTTCTTACACTGACAAAAGGTATTATTGATCAAAATAACATTTTATTGAATTTCCAATCTCACGAGCGCGATAGTACAGCTTACTTTTTCACATGTTTTTCACATGAGCAAATAAATACAAACGCAGAAAGAAATGATTGGGGGGCTACAGCCCCCCAGCACCCCTGCTTCGCGGTCCCTGATTTTTCTTGATAAAGGAACCCTCTCATTTTGTTTTTCATTCCTAACACTTTTGTTGCCAAACAGTGCTGTTGTYGTTATTGTATCACAAACCTGTTTTTGGACAATCTTCAATAGATTTTGCTGGTCCACTGGGAAATAAATTCTTGTTGGATGTGAATACATTGGGACAGGCTTTGCAAGAATATGTTATGTTGGTTGTTCCATCGTTGTATGTTCTGGGAGGACATCGTCTTGGAGTACTCTCATTCAGAGGACAATAAAAACCTCTAGGACAAGGCACTGAAATTATGAAAAAAAATCTTGAAATAATTATTTAAGAATTTAAGTAAGCAGCACTGATGGCTACAAAAGAAGCTGGTCAGCGGGTTAGTTTTAGCTTTGAGAGCCAATACGAGCCTAGAGTCTTAACTAATGTCAGCGGTATAGGCTGACCGCATTGACTTCCGCTGGATGGCAAAAGTGCGGGCTCTGGGTACAAGATTGGCTTGAACCCATGCCTCCCATTGTGAGAAAAACAAGTAATATGAACTATTTCTTTTTAGCCTTTTATCTCCCGCCATGACACGGGATTCCGAGCACTCTTGCATTCCGGTGTACAAGCTCCTGGATTTCATTTTCTTGGAAAAGTTCGCAAAGATTCCGGATTCCATACAAAACATCCTAGCTTTTTTTGTTGTCAATTTACAATTAGTTAACTAATTAGTCACTACTTTAGAATCCAGATTCCTTCTTTTTATCGGATTCCGTTTCCATTGCCGAAGTTCCGAATTCGGAGTGTCTGGATTCTAGATTCCAGAGCCAACACTTTTGTGGAATTCCTGATTACGTGTCATGAGGAGATTTCTGATTATCAATATTATCAATAAAGTAATCACAATTACCAACTTGGATTGTAATGTTTTTTATCTCCGGATGGTTAGGACTGTTATGTGCGTATAGTTCCCAAGTTCCTGCGTCTTCATGGCTGACATTTTTAATCATCATTGTAAACTGATTTAGATAATTTGGATTCTGGTAAAGCTCATGACGACTATCGTCTTCAACTCGACGGCCTCCTCGTCGATAATCCACAGTACGCACTGGATAGTTTGAGTAAACCTTGCAGGTTATGTTGAAGCTTGAGCCCAAATATGCAGATTCCTTGTTGTCCGGGCACTTAAACGTAATTATGGCTGAAGAAATGAAAAAATGAGATAAACCATCATATGCACCCTGCTTACGTCAGTCTTTCAACTTGAATACCACTGTTATATATCTATACATTCAAATCCTAACGGAGTAAAAAAATCAACGATTTTTGATGAATACTGTAGGGGTTTACTAAACTTAGGCAAAAAGGAGTGAAAATCATCGAATTTTTTTGATGAAAATGCATAGGCTGTAACCCACCAAAATGGCCAAAAATGGTCGATTTTTGAAGAAAATACATGGGCTATAGCCCACCAAAATGGCCAAAAATGGTCGATTTTTGATGAAAATGCATGGGCTACAGCCCACCAAAATGGCCAAAAATGGTCGATGTAATGTTATCGTATGCATATATTCATGTTCGGGTTACCTGTGTACCTCATGGTTTAGCCAAGATGTCGGAATAAAACAATCACACAACAATCCGTCTCCATTGGTCTCCATCCTCAACCATCCTAACAACACATGGTGTCAGAACGAACCAACATCCATCGATTATCAAGATAAAGCTAATTATCGATCACTCAGGATGCCTGACGACAATCTTCCGCCAATTCTTCAACACGTTCCGTTTCCATCCAAACTCGAGCTTTCTGACGATGCAAATCGAAAGAAAGATTGGCAACTGTTCCGCCAGATATGGGAAAATTACGAGATATCTTCTCAACTGAAAGATCATCCAAAAGAAAGACGAACAGCGACACTTTTGACGTGCTTTCAGCCTTCTGCWTTACAAGTCTACAACAGCCTATCATTTGCCAGCGAACAAAATAAGAGTGATATTGATAAAGTACTTGAGAAGATGTCTGAATTTTGTAATGGTGTAGTAAATGAAACCTACGAACGTTATCTATTCAACACCCGATGTCAAGAACCGAATGAAAGTATAGATGACTTTTATGGAGCTTTGCTAGCTCTGTCTAAAAACTGCTCATTTGATACATTGACTGCATCACTTATAAGAGACAGACTAATCGTTGGAATGAAAGATGCTTCATCACGACAAAGACTACTCCAAGAAAAAGCTCTATCTCTGGAAAAATGTCTAGAAATAGCCAGATCATTTGAAGCTACCAAAGCTAGATTAAGAGACATGCAMGGGAAAAGTGAAGYCAACTCGAGTGTAAACAGAGTCAAACRMCACYCAAAACAAATTCCAAAAGAAGRAAAGAAASATAACTCTAGCAAGTCATCTGGACAAGCAAAAGAATMAAAGAAATGYTRCTTCTGTGGTAAAGATTATCATCAGCGTAAACATTGTCCAGCCAAAGATATTTTCTGTGGAAGTTGTCACAAAAAGGGACACTTCAAGTCTGTATGCAAAAGTTCCTCAAAATCAGTGCATGATATACAAGATGATTACTCATCAGAGGAAGATGAACCTCTATACATGGGCTCTATCACTAGTCAAACCAACCAAGTGGTATCGTGATATAAAAGTGGATATAGACATTAACTTCAAAGT